ATTTATCTTATTTATTATTATTTAATATTTTATTTAATATTGACTTTTTTAATATTTAATTTAAATATTTTTTTATATTACATTTTTTGTAATGAAATAATTTACATTTTAAATTTAAAAATAGTTTTTTTTCTAATTAAATATATCATTAATTTTGAAATATTTTTCTTAATTAAGTTATTTTACTTCTGTATCTTGAATTTAACAATGTTTAGATATTTGTACTGGAAAACAAAAAAAAACATTAAGTAAAAAAGTCATTTTTTTTGCAGTGTTCGTAAAGTAACATTTCATTAAATGCTTTAACATTAGCAGCTCCCACTAACCAATCAACGGAGCCGGAGAAACTGGAGAGCAGAGTGTTTGGGGTAAGACGAGTCACATATGATGCACAACTTATTACTTTTTATATTGTTTTATAACTGTTATCGCTCTAATTTCGCACATTCATAGGTGTCAGTAGCGGTGGGTCTCGCTGTGTTCGCTTGCACATTTCTGCTCATCATGGTTGTCGTCATCAATAAATGTGGACAGCATTCCAAGTTTGGCATTCACCGTAAGTTCTACTTCCACATATAGGGTTAAAAGTCAACATGAAATCAAAATCGCCCGTATGGTGCAAGTTATTCCTAATCTTTTTTTTGTTTGTTTTCTTAACCTTGCTCCATACTGCTCTGAAACAACTTTCCTTTGCAGCTGATGTTACAAAACCCTCCGAACTATCCATTTTGGCATGTAACATCCACTTTTCACAATCAAATTAATTCTCAATGGATACAATCAAGCCATTTTTTCTCATTAAACATCCTGTTCAGCTTGGAAATGCACCAGATTACGAATGCAAAATGAGTTGTGATTAAGATTTTATGTTGACTTTTTATGCATTATCAAAGTACCTTTCAAGGAAAGTCAGTTTCACTCAGCAGCTTTATTTGCAAAGTATGCAAGGTGCTATTTCGGGCATGCGAGACCAGTTTGAAGTGGGAAATGTTTGCCAAATATTTCAAAACATGCATTTTTTTTCTTATTGAATATCCTGTTTCCCTTAAAAATACATCTGATTACAGAATCAAAATGAGTTGTGATTAATATTTTATTACGTTTTTATGTATTACAGGTTGATACCGTAGTCATAGTCATGTGATCTAAACATAGCAGCCACCATTTGTAGGATAAAGCTGCTTTTTCTAGGCTACTGATAGGACTTCATTTCTTATCATTTGTCAAAAGTACGACAATTTAAAATCGCACTTGGATGCCTTCAAAATCCAGATCAATTTGCAGTTAATCAGAAGACTAAATCAGTTTACTTAGGTCTCAAATGAAGATGTTTTGGTCTTGAAGAGGACTTTAATGGGAAAGAGAACTATCGGTTCAAACAAACCAGGTGCAGCTCACACAACAGCGGAAGTAGTTAGTGTTAAATGAAAGTCAGAGACAGCACAATCATGGCCCATGCCAAAATGACTTTCTCCAATATTATTTTGGAATCTGAATGAGTTCCACAGGAGGCATTGTGTTGCTTTTAAGTAAGGCACAAAAAGGCAGCGAAATACAGTCTCTTCTAAGCTGTAACTTTGTACAGTGTCAGCCTAACAGCTCGGCAAAGTGCTGCCAGGTCTTAATTACAGCATGCAAAGTAAATAGCATCGGGAGCCCCAGCCGCGCGCGAGCCATTAAAGAAGAGAGATGGAGGGCGGAAGTAGTTAGTGTTAAATGAAAGTCAGAGACAGCACAATCATGGCCCATGCCAAAATGACTTTCTCCAATATTATTTTGGAATCTGAATGAGTTCCACAGGAGGCATTGTGTTGCTTTTAAGTAAGGCACAAAAAGGCAGCGAAATACAGTCTCTTCTAAGCTGTAACTTTGTACAGTGTCAGCCTAACAGCTCGGCAAAGTGCTGCCAGGTCTTAATTACAGCATGCAAAGTAAATAGCATCGGGAGCCCCAGCCGCGAGCGAGCCATTAAAGAAGAGTGATGGAGCAAGGCTTTTCAGGTCCACTCGCTCCGCTCACAAAGTGCCTAAGTGGACCTGATTGCCTCCCTCCCCTCTCGCCCTCTATTCCCTGCGTTGCTCTTCTCTGCCCAGTCTGGGGTCTCTGCGGTTATAGCTTGAGTGGGTTTTGTGATTTGAAGGAGAAGCTAATTCTGCTTTCTAAAAACCAGAGTGATTTGCTTCGGATCAAGTAAACATTCTGCCAGATATCGGTTTTGTCGATGCTGTTTTGTATGTGCATCTTGTTGTGAATTTTAAACAACATATATAACAAGGCAAGCGCCAGTAGTGCAACTTCTCACACTTCCCGATTTGAACAAACTCCAAGCCTCAAGTATTAAATTACACTATGTAATCATTTGCACCACATGATAGCTCAAAACTTGCTGCTTGTTGAGGAACGTTGTAATACTACTTTTTCAAACCAGGGGATTTCAATCTTGAAGATATCATGGACCACCAGATATGATCATCTTTGTGCAATATTTTCATGTATAAAGTCCCAATATATATTGTGAAAAATGTATATTATAAATATGCATTATTTTTTTTCTACTCACTATAGAATTATACTGATAGATGCAATATTTATTTATTTATAAATTTAATTACAATTATTTTTATTTTAATGTTATGTCAAATTGATTTTGTTTTATTTATTTATTATTAATATTAACATTTTTTTTCTCTAAACTTTTACACACTCTTTTGGGTCCCTGTTTGAAACCACTGTTCTAATAACATTTAGCTAATGTTCCCATTAAGTTATGAAAACGCTATTTCTGAATGTTCTCTGAACGTTCAAAACGCCCAGATTTATTTATTTATTTATTATAATTTTTTTTAACATTTTTTCTTGGTTTTGCAAATATTAAAAAGATAGTTCGCTTAAAAATGAAAATTCTGTCATCATTTACTCACCCCAAAACAGTTGACTGTAGCCATTGGCCTACATGGTATATATTTTTTTCATACTATGAAAAAAGAAAGAAACTCATACAGGTTTGGAACAAGTAGAGTGTGAGTAAATTATGATAGAATTTTCATTTTGGGGGTGAACTATCCCTGTAAATGAACATTCATTTTAGCATTTTGCAAACATTATTGGAATGTTACTTTTGAATGTTCTCTGGACGTTCTGAAGCAAATAGTTACATTTAAACATCCAACTAAAATGTCTGAAAAAAAAAAACATTCTGAGAACATTTTTAAAGACCACTTAACTTCAAATGAATGTTCTATATGCATTTCTGGAAGAAAGTTTCACAGAACCTTGCTAGAACATTAGCCAAAGTTCTAAGAACGTTCCCTGTTGGGGTAGCAACTGCAAAACAATGCCCAAATCTAGTTATTTGATCACCTAGACCAGTGGTTTTCAAACCTGTCCTGGAGGACCCCCAGCACTGCACATTTTGCATGTCTCCCTCATCTAACACACCCGATTCAACTCATCAGCTCATTAGTAGAGACTGCAAGACCTGAACTGGGTGTGTCTGATAAGGAAGACATACAAAATGTGCAGTGCTGGGGGTTTGAAAACCCCGACCTAGACCACTCTAAGTGTCCAACTTCAACAGTAAACAGCTGTGAAAATGTTAAACGTGAGTGGCTGAGAGTAGGAAATAAGAGAGAATGTAATGTCTACTATGTTGTCAAACTATACACAGGAAATTGTGTAGAGCACTTCAGATGACTCAGTGATTGCCAATAAGTTAATTAACTTAACATGGGCTCAGGAAATAGATGTGAAGAAAGGAAAAGAATACGCCGAACCGGAGCTGCTTGGGAGCCACTTCCTGTCTGTGTGCCCACAGGTTCGTCTGTTCTCGGCACTGAGGATGATTTGGCCGTATCTCTTCGCTTCATGAACTTTGGTGCAAGTCCTCCGTCTTCAGATGACAGCACGCTGGATTCTGGCTTGTCCAGTTTTGTAGAGAACCCGCAGTACTTCTGTGGCATCATCAAAGATAAAGACATGTGTGAGTGTCTCACAATCCCATAATATCACAAGTTTTCAGCATGCGGATTCAGTTTGTACTACTAAATCAAAGTGATTACTTCTTTGTATTTTGCAGGTGTCCAGCACATTAAAAGAAAATACATCGTTTTGAAGTGGGAACTGGGTGAAGGAGCTTTTGGCAAGGTTTACCTGGCGGAATGTGCCAACCTCTGTCCTGATACTGACAAGATGCTGGTTGCTATCAAGGTATGATCATCAGGGCTTAACATTCTTGTAGTTCAACATTATGTAATGTTTTTTAAAGCAATATCTTTTTATGTGCTAGAAAAAAAAATGTTTTTGAATTTTGTCAAAAAATGTTCATGTGTATTTTTCCTCTTTTTTTACACTAAAAATGTTTTAATTAGCAACAATAGCTAGTAATACAGCTAATATACATAGAGTAACTCCATGTGCAAAACCACACATTTGTTTGAGCCTGATGGCATACAATGCAAAACATTACTGATTTTCAACCTATTCTGATTCCTCCAAGTCTATCATGAGTAATTTTAACAATTCTAGCAGAATCACATTCATGTTAGCCAGCTAGATAACTAGCTAAATAAGCAAATTAGCAACAACATTAAAAAACAACCACATAAAACATATTACATTAGCAAAGAAAATATATATATTTTTAATTAAATACAATGAAATATAAATATTAGATAACTTACATTTAAAAAAATCTTAAGAAAATTAAATAAAACTAAAATTACTAAAAGTGAAATAAACAGATAAAAAAAACGACTAAAAGGACAAAAGCACATAACAAAATTACTAAAATTTAACAAATTAAAATGACAACTGAAAATATAAAAATAAAATAATTCAAAATATTAATAATACTATAATAGTATATATATATAATACTAAAAAACACTGTTGCAAAGCATTAAACCAGAGCTGAGCGCCAACTGAGTAATTCAAACTGTAATGAATTTAAAATTGAAGCAGCAAACAGAATGACGAATTGCCGTTAAATTTTGAATAACAGTTAGTAGCAAGTTTATCTCCCAAAACCTATTACCTGCATTAAATTTCTTTAAAAGTGTCCAAATGCTTGGACATTGTATGCCCACTAATATCTGACTGTCTTCATGTGCAGACCTTGAAAGTGGCCAACGAGTCCACCCGCCAGGACTTCCAACGCGAGGCCGAGCTGCTCACGGTGCTGCAGCATGAACACATAGTGCGGTTCTACGGCGTGTGTACAGACGGAGAACCTCTGGCCATGGTGTTTGAGTACATGCGACACGGAGACCTCAACCGCTTTCTAAGGTCAGTCTAATAACCACCAGCCACTCACAGCGAATTAACTACAGCGGCAGCAATGTGGTGTAACGGTCGGAAACTGAAGAGCTTCCTTGGAGCTTCATACATGCCATTCTTAGACAACCTTGGAAACACCAAACAAATTTGCAAGGTTTTTTTTTTTTTTTAAGGTTTTTTTTTTTTTTTTGGTATACTGTAGGATAGAACAGATTCTCACCTGTCGCTATAGTTAATCTTGCCTGCAAGTCAACTTTCTGCATTTTATTTTGGGCTTACACTCTTAACAATAAAGGTTCTTTATTGGAATCTATGATTCCATGAAGAACCTTTAACATCCATACACTCTTAAAAATAAAGCTTCCATCAGGGGTTTTTTTGCAGCAAATGCAATATTTTGGGTTCACCAAAGAACCTTTCAGTGAACAGTTCCTAAAATAGCAATTTTTTTCCCTAGTCTGAAGAACATTTTAATGATCTAAGAAATTTTTTCCACTATAAAGTAAATTTCGTGCAATGGAAAGGTTACATGGATGTTAAAAGTTCTCCATGTATCCATAGATGCCAATAAAGAACCTTTACTTTTTAAGTATAGAACCTTTCCATTGCACAAAAGGTTCTTTATAGAGGAACAAGTTTTTTTTAGATCATTAAAATGTTCTTTACACCAAACTGCTCACTGAAAGGTTCTTTTGGTAACCCACAATGTTTAATCTATGGCATTGCTGTGAAAACCCCCCTTTTGGAACCTTAATTTTTAAGAGTATACATGAAAAGGTGCATCAAATTCAAGGCCTTTCATTTACCATATTTCCATCTACATCCACATTAACATCTGAAACTCAAAGCCCAAACCTATTAGAAGAGCGATGGAGCCCAAATGCAGATCCAGCTTTGTGATGCTCCAGTTTTAATTAAGATTAAAGAAGTAAAGTTCACTGAAGTGTGAGGTGGCTGATGGGGGATTGACTGACCATATGTCCAGTACAGCTGGGTCTCAGTGCGTAAAGATCCAGTCTGTTTGCCAGGTGGTTGCTGGGGCCAGATTGGGAGTGGGACATGTGAATGTTTGAGGGGGAGATGAAATCGCATTTTCATGTGTATAGATGTGGCTCCAGTCTCGGTTGCAGCTGCCCCATCCTGCCACCTGCCTGCTAAACTAATAGGGATCCCATACTAAACCTCAGAAGGCAAGCGAGTGGCAGAGAGTTTACATGCGTATATTAGGATGAATGGAGAGAGTGGTTTGCACATTGAGGTCTGACATGCAAGGCAATGGTGACCAATGGTGCTTGTGCTGTCATTCAGCAGATGTTTTCTTGTTCAAAGTGACTTACAGTGCACCGACTTCAATCTGGCGTTTGTTTGAAAAGTACAACAGTATAATTCATTTCAAATTACCATTACCAATGCAGATGCTGGTATATAAAAAGGCTGTGTTCAGAATGGAATGCTATTTTATAGAGACAGCATGCAACGATAAAAAGCAGCATGCTGCATTGTTGTGACATTGCTATTGGCAGATTTTAACAACGTTTTTTTTTTTTACTTTTCAGTTCGGTTCTGATGGCTTGGCACAATGTAAAGATCAATAGAGTTGTCGAAAGCTTAGTGATGTTGACGTTGAAGCTGTGCAACTGTGGTGTAGTTAGTTTATAACCTAACCTAGCTTTTTACTTCTGGTGTTCGTATTTCGGCTTTAAAAGTTGTGTTAGTTTATGAAGATCATCTTAATAAACAAAACGTGTTAGAATCAGAAACTTTTGCTGGTCACAAAGCTTATTTTCCGCCATAATCCAAAACCCAATGGAAAAATCCTATTGTCTTTTTGCTGAGGGAACCAGGGTGATGCTAACCTTCGGGTTAGCCTGAAAAAAAAAAAAACATCCCTGAAGCACTCTATCGAGGATGATGTAGTGCATTGCATTGTGGGATACAGTATTCCACATACACTCTTAAAAATAATGGTTCTTTATTGGCATCAATGGTTCCGTAGAGATCCTTCAACATTCACGGAAACCTTCCATTCCACAAAAGGTTCTTTATATTATTAATATGTATTCACACTAAGAAAAGTGGTTCTTTTAAGAACTGTTCACTGAAAGGTTCTTTTGGGAACCCGGAATGGTTCTTCTATGATATCAACTTTTAAAAATACCCTTCTGAGGTTTGATTTTTAAATGGTTAGTTCACCCAAAAATGAAAATTATGCCATTAATTACTCACCCTCGTGTTGTTCGAAACCCGTAAGACCTTCGTTCATCTTCGGAACACAATTTAAGATATTTTTGATGAAATATGAGGGCTCTCTGACCCTCCCATAGACAGCAAGGTAACTATCACGTTCAAGGTCCAGAAAGAAACCAAGATGATCGACAAAGTAGTCCGTGTGCGTGAACGCGCGTCCAAAGTGACGCAGTAGTCACTTTGTGGAATAAATGTGGAATAAAGTCGTTATTTTTGTTTTATTTGCGCAAAAAAGTATTCTCGTAGCTTCGTAACTTTACAGTTGAACCACTGATGTCACACGGACTACTTTGTCGATTTTTGGGTGAACTAACCCTTTAAGACTGTAGTGTGCTTTGAATGTATGCTAAACATCAAGGAAAGTTTAGTTGGCTATCTGGGTAATCGATGCATATTCACATAACATGCACATAATGCAAAAATAATACAAGTAGTATGCTAGTAGTATGCCATTCTGAACACATCTCTTTTCTCAGGTTTATGTTTTTAAGAAGCTGTTATATAATGTGCGTGGTTTTCTTTACAGGGTTCATGGTCCAGATGCTCGTATCCTGGACGAGATGAAGGTTCCTCCGATGGGTCAGTTGACTCTTCCTCAGATGCTCCACATCGCAGCTCAGATCTCCTCGGGCATGGTGTACCTCGCTTCCCTTCATTTTGTCCACAGAGACCTAGCCACCAGGAACTGTTTAGTCGGAGAAGAACTGGTGGTGAAGATCGGGGACTTTGGGATGTCGAGAGACATTTACAGCACCGATTACTACAGGGTACAACACTTCATTTCAACATCGTCTCATATGTTTCTCCTGAAACTAAGAAAAATATATTGTAAATAAAAGTGGCAGATCATTTGGTCTGTGTTCATATTGAGATCTCTGACTTGGGTCACAAATCTGATCATAATTTGAGATGCAGTTCAGATCTCTTTAGAAACTGGAGACTTCTCTTCTGCATCTCAATAAGGTCTGGGAGAAACATTTGAGACATTAAAAAGATCTCATTTGTGATTTTGTATATGTACCCACGGCAGAGATGTTTGCTTGTAATCTGTTCTTGATCACCTCATCAGGTCGGTGGGAGGACGATGCTGCCTATTCGCTGGATGCCACCAGAAAGCATCATGTACAGGAAGTTCACCACGGAGAGTGACATCTGGAGCTTTGGAGTGGTCCTTTGGGAAATCTTCACCTACGGCAAACAACCCTGGTATCAGCTATCCAACAGTGAGGTAAAGTACCACATTTAATGTTCAAAGTTAGTGACAACCATGTGTGGCTGCACAATCATGCCTAGTAAAATGTCAAACGTATTAAAAACAATACAACCACGAAACAGACAAAATTGAAAGAAACAGTTCACCTAAAAAATTACAATTCTTTCATTTACTCACCATCAAGTTGTTCCTGTATATAGATGGAAATAAAAAAAAAATTGTTGTTGATTGATCCCATTAATGATTTTTGTAGTATTTTTATATTTTACATATTTAATTTTTCACTCAATGTTACACTACCGTTCAAAAGTTTATTATTTGTTTTCCAGAAAGGATGCATTAAATTGGTCAGTAAAGTGACAGTAAAGATATTTGTAATGGTATATTTCTATTTCAAATAAATGCTGTTCTTTTGAACTTTCTATTAAAGGGGTCATATGATGCTGCTAAAAAGAACATTATTTTGTGTATTTGGTGTAATGAAATGTGTTTATGCGGTTTAAGGTTAAAAAAACACATTATTTTCCACATA